AGCTGCAGCTGCAGACTAGGTAAACTTCTCTCTGGCTCACTTTTCCTTTCAATTTATGTCTTCTCTTCTTTATTCAGTAAGTGGACTTTCATTGGATGGCAAACAGGGAACATATGCCGTACTTTGTTTCTGGGGCGTGGGATGTCATAAACACCAGCTGCTTTGTGAGCGGAGAGTGTGTGTTGGCCTCGAAGCCAGGTGCAGATATGGAAGCCAACCGGAAGGACTCTCCACACTCCTCTCTGATAATGCCTTTCAGCTCGGGACGATCCAGTCTTGGCTGGAGCCAGCAGGGACTCACTGGTCTCCACGCAGGACTGAGTCTCCCTTGCACCGCCTGCTCCTTCTCCCTGGCCGTGGCTGGTGGAACTTGGCTGACTGGGGTCTGCAAGGAGAGCACTCAGGGGCAATGCCCACATCTGGATCTCTGAGGCTTATGCCTCAAGATGCATTGAAAGAATACGTTCCAAAGAAAGCTTGGCGGGGGGCAGGGGGAGGGGGCTGGCACCAAAGGATGCGGTTATTGTTGCCAGAGCCAGTGGTGTCCAGCTGGCCAGGAGACAGGCCGTGCAGTGTTGTCCAGTAATGTGTTTGGGGGCGGGCTGGATGGCAGCCACACTGCAGGCTGGGCTGACGCTGGAGGCTCAGGGTGGGACGGGGCAGTAGTGAGCGCATGTCCCTTTAGTTTCCCCCAATTCACCTCCACCAGTCACCCCCCACCCTTACCTTCTCCCTGTCCCAAACTCTTCCAGACAGTCATGGAGTGATGGTCAGTGCTCTCCATGGCTCCCTGCAGGCTGTGGGGTGATGATGGTCAGCGCTCTCCGTGGCTGCTGTCCCACACCCTTGGGAGCTTGCAGCAGTCAAGAACTGTTCACAGGAGCCCCGCTGCGATCCCGTAAGTGGTCGAGGGCCCCCGATAGGAGGAGGGACAGCTGCCTCCCCCATTCCCCTCAAGGCCGGGCCCTGTCCAGTATCCTCCAACCAGCTGGAGCACTTGCCCGTCTTGTCATTGTGTAGCTCGGGCAGTGAGGGGCCGTGCCTGCAGTCACACGTGTTCTGATGCCACTGTGCTTCCTGAGCATCTTGGCGACCCGCCCCATGTTGGCCAACACAGTGGGTCGCGTGCCTGCTGTCCAGCACGCGCACTCTCCAGTGTGAACCCACGGTCACGGCCCTTGCAGGTGCCTCTTTCGGTCATTGCACTAGAGTAATCACATCTGCTTCATTGCCGTGGAACTGAGGGTGGGGCCGGGCGTGGCCAGGGCGGTGCAGGTGGACACATGCAGGACCTTGGGGCTAGCGTGTCCACAGATGAGCTGCCAGTGTTGGTGCCTGCAAGGACCGTGCATGAGGCCTGGAGAACGGTCTGGGAGTCTGTGGGATGGCAGGGGCTGGGGGCATGGTGGACAGTCATCCACGCTGCCCGCATCCAGGTCGTATCCACCAGCTGCCATTACGGCCATCTGGAGTTTTCCCCTCGTCTCAGGAGAGTCGTGGGGATGGGGACTGGCCTTGCTGGGGCTTGCTCCAGGCCAGTGACATGCTTGTCCCTTCAGGGCGGTCCTAAGCCCAGTGGACCAGTGCATCTTGGCTCAGCTCTGTGCTAGCCCCTCTCCTGGCTACAGGACAGGGCGGGTTGCAGATGCCCAGGGCCTGTGTGGTGTGCCTTTCTCGGTGTCTCCTCTGCCGGTCCCATGCATCCCCCTCTTATGTAAGTGTCGAAGAGATCATACCCCCGAGCCAAAGCCCCTCCCCAGCCCCCAAGAGGCCAGAGAATCCCAGTGACTGTTTCTGTGTGCTGGGGACACAGGGTATGTGACCTTCACTGTGTCGGACCAGCTGCCCACCCAGGGCCTCACAGACAGTCCACACCCCTGACACTTGCCTTCCTGACTTCCCAGGTGCTCGGAGAGGGAGGGGTTTAGCAAGTGTGTGGGGCTGCCCTTTCAGGGTCCCCCATATGTGCACAGCAGCCAGTGTGGGCCACAAAACCGGTGTCTTCCAGCAGCCCACCGGGCAGATGGCCATGCTCTGTGGGGGGCTTAGGAGCCCTTCGTGCTGACATGGAGGCAGAGCTTGTTTATGCCTTAAGCCTGGGAAGCCTTTCTGATCAGCATTGTGTGTTTTATTTTTCCAAGATTAAACTATTTATAATCCGTTAACAAACGTGATCACAGTTTTAGGAATGCCCTTTGCTGTTTCAGTAAAGGAGAGAACTCGAAGTCGGTTTTCCAAATGTATGTTGTTGATTTTTAAGTTTTGGGGGGAGAATACAGGGGTAGGGGGCACCCTGGTAGTGCCCTGGGGCTGCCTCCAGCTCTTACTGGGCTCTCCGATGGCATTCTTCAGGTGCCAGGCACTGCTGGACCGGACACATACCTGGCAAGTGCACCCACAGGGGGCAGGTGGGTTCAAGACCCCCCCAACCAAGGCTCTGGCAGCACCATCCCTGCCCCGCCAGCCCCGCCATGGGCTCGACCACCCCCCAGCGCAGCGCCTGGGTCGAGGCTGTTCCCTCTCCATGAGTCTCCCAGGCACACTTTCCCCTGGGTTTTTCCCCCAGCTGATATTCCTGCAGAGCGCGCGCGTCACGCTTTGTTACACCTCAATCTTTCTCTTCATGCTGTCCTTCCGGATGCTTCTCCATTTCATGGATTTTCTCTCAAAGCTTCTTTCTGCAAAGGGCCAGATAGTGTGTCTCATGGGAGGGTACGGGCCGAAGGGCTAAAATTCAGGAAGTTGATTTCCCACACTGAAACATAGTCTGATGTTTAAAATCAAGGATCACTTCAGAAAATGTAATTCATTCATACAACATGAGCCTCAAGTTGAGAACAAACATATCCCTCTTCTTGTAAAGTCGTTTCTCTCACCAGTACTTTGTGAGAATACAGTGGAAAGATAGAAAGACAAGGTAAAATAGACACCTTTATTTTAGTGGTGTTGGGACTTGAACCCAGGTCTCCTCTGTGTGTGTGTGTGTACACACACACACACACACACACACACACACCACCGTTTCTTTTGTGATTTGGAAACTATTATTATTATTATTATTATTATTATTATTATTATATTACTATTTGCAGCACTGGGAATCAAACCCAGAATCTCCCACATGTGCTCTGAGCTCACTACATATCTGGCCCTTTGAAAACAGTTTCTTTTTTGGTTTGTTTTTGGGGCCACATCCAGCGATGCTCAGGGGTTCCTCCTGACTCTGCACTCAGAAATCACTCCTGGAGAGCTCAGAGGACCATAGGGGCTGCCGGGGACCAAACCCAGGTCGGCCACATGCAAGGCAAGCGCCCTCCCCACCGTGCTATCGCTTCAGTCGCCCTTTGGGAACAGCTTAAAGCCTTTCTTCAATTGTGTCTCATTGAGTCCCTCCAAAGACGCCTCGCCCAAACAAGTCCTCTCATCAATTCAATGTTGAGCTTCTCAGCCACAAATCTGACAGTTTCTTACATCTGGGGGAACCGAGAGACCGTGACAGGAGGAGGAAGATCGTTTTTAACTCCCCAGCCCAGCAACGCCTCTTCAGCAGGTGTTCCTGGAGATGAAGTCAGATACTCCCTGCGTCCGCTGTGGCTCTTGACCTGTGGTGCATCTCTCCAGAGGAAGGAGACAGCATGCTGGAGTAATTAAGTCATGGACCTTGGCCTCTGACCACTTCAGCTGGGCTCACCCCTTCCCCCCCACCCCCAACCCCCACCCCACACACGCACCACCACCACCACCACTATCACCCAATTCTGACTTTTACTGGCTGTGAGTGATCTTGAGCAACTGACTCTTGGGATTTCAGTCTCCCCCGCTCTGGTGGGGGGGGTGTCACGGCAGGGCCCCGGGAGTGTCTGGGGGATGCGGCCGAGAACGCCCCTCTTGTACTTGGTCAGTGCTGAGCACACAGGAAGCTCCCACACCTAGAACCATCACCCCCCTGCTTCCAGACACGGCTCCGTGCCCTGCGGCTTGGCTCCTCACCGACCCAGAGGTAGTGACGCACGCAGACAGACATGGTCGGGACAGACAGACCAACGCTGGCCATCTGCAGTTGCTCCAGCGTGAGCTGCCGAGTCAGGCCTCTGTGGTCCTGCTCCTCTGTCTGTCCATCTCGCTGCTGTCCCTTCCGGGCCCCTGCAGTGCTTCCCCCTTCCAGCCCGTTTCCTTCTTGGGTTTCGGACTCCTGCATGGCGTGGCTGATTTTTCTCTGTGACCGCCCCCAGCCCCCACCTTGGCCACCCCCTCCCTCGTGGCACCTGAACCCACGCAGGGTTAACCTGGCCAAGCTCATCTTCCATCCGGCTGGGATTTCTGCAGGACCCAAGTGGTCCTGGGAGTTAAGGCACACACCGTGGATCTGACTCCAGGATGTGACTTTGGCCAAGAAAAAAAAAAAAAAAGGCAGACTCCTGCGTGTTTACACAGTGTGAGGGGAAAGCTTGTCTTTGGCAAGTTACCTGTGCTAGCAGCTGACACTCAGGGTGACCGTGGGCCCCCGGGCAGGGAGGGGTGTGGGGGGGGGGAGGGGGGAGGCAGGAAGCGGCCGGAGGCTGAGTTTCTCTACCGTGCACACCTCTTCCCTGAAGGCTGCTGACAGAGCCTTGGCAAGGGCTCGGCCCCCGCCTGGCCGATAAGCGAAGCCGTTTTATATTTAACTTTGGAGGCTGGAGGGGTGTGTGTGTGTGGGGGGGCCTTGTTTATAAGGGGAGCTGTTGGCTGTGCTGCTCAGCCCTCCTCCTCCTCCTCCTCCTCCTCCTCCTCCTCCTGCATCCCGGCTCCTCTTCGGGATTCTTTTCCCACTCCCTCGTTTCCTCTTGCAGGGGACGGGAGCGTGGAGCGGACAGTTCGCAGCCGAGACACCAGAAAGGCGGTGGGAGAGGGCGCGTGGCTCCGGGAACCTCCAGCCCAGCCCCGGGGGGCACGGGGGTGGACGCGCCCCGTGAGACGGAGCATTCTTGCACGCGCCAGCAGCTCCGCTCGGGGACTCCAGAATGAGTGCCTGCATCCAAGGCAAGCATGTGGCCATCATCTGCGGGGTGGTGGTGGCCGTGGGGCTTATCGTGGGCCTCTCCGTGGGCTTGACCCGGAACAGTGACTACGGGTCCGGCCCCGACAACCCCACCACTGACGCCCCACAGGTCGTGGGGGTGTGCCCCCCCAAGGTCGAGCAAGGCCCGTGGCAGGAGTTCAGGCTCCCGAAGTCCGTGCTCCCCTCTCACTACGACCTGGAGGTGCAGCCCCAGCTGCAGGAGGACACCTACACGGGCACCGTGAGCATCGCCCTGCAGGTGCTCACGACCATGGATGCCGTGTGGCTGCACCTGCGTGAGACCAGCATCATGAAGCTGCCCGAGCTGCGGGGCCCCACCGGGGAGCAGGTGCAAGTGCGGGGCTGCTTCGAGTACCGCGAGCAGGAGTACCTGGTGGTGCAGCCCACCGCCCCGCTCAGCCCCAACAACTACACACTCACCCTGAGCTTCGCCGGCCGCCTCAACGGCTCCCTCGTGGGCTTCTACAGGACCACCTACGTCGAGAACGGCCAAACCAAGTAAATACCCGGCCCTGCGGCCCCTGTCCGCCCCTGCCTACGTGCCTGCCGGCGTCCTTCCACTGTTGCTTTGTTGGGGGCCATGCCTGGCCGTGCTCGGGGCTCACTTCCGGCTTAGCGCTCGGGGCTCAGTCGAAGCTCTGTGCTGAGGAATCGCTCCCGGCTCTGTGCTTGGGTCACTCCCGGCTCTGTGCTCAGGGCTTACTCCTGGCGTCTGCTTGGGGTTGACTCCTGGCTCTGTGCTCAAGCCTGACTCCTAGCTCTTTGCTCAGTGATCACTCCCGGCTCTGTGCCTGGGTCTCACTCCCAGCTCTGTGCTCAGGGCTCACTCCTGGCTCTGTGCTCAGGACTCACTCCCAGCTCTGTGCTCAGGACTCACTCCCAGCTCTGTGCTCAGGGCTCACTCCCAGCTCTGTGCTTGGGGCTGACTCCTGACTCTGTGCTCGGGACTCACTCCTGGCCCTGTGCTCAGGGCTCACTCCCAGCTCTGTGCTCAGGAATCAGTCCCGGCTCTGTGCTCAGGGCTCACTCCTGGCTCTGTGCTTAGGGGTGACTCCTGGCTCTTTGCTCAGGGATCACTCCCGGCATCTGGTTCCCGGCATCCTATATGGATCCATATAGGATCCCGGCTCTGTGCCCAGGTCTCGCTCCCAGCTCTGTGCTTGGGACTCACTCCTGGCTGTGTGCTCAGGGCTCACTCCCAGCTCTGTGGTCGGGGTTCACTCCTGACTCTGTGCTCAGGGACCTCTCCTGGCTGTGTTCTTAAGAGTCACTCCTTGCTCTGTGCTCAGGAATCACTCCCGGCTCTGTGCTTAGGGCTTACTCCCAGCTCCGTGCTCAGGGATCTATCTTGGCTCTGTGCTCAGGGCTCACTCCTGGTTCTGTGCTCAGGGATCACTCCCAGCTCTGTGCTCAGGGATCACTCCTGGTGGTGCTCGGGGATCACTCCCGGCTCTGTGCTCAGGTTCACTCCTGGTGGTGCTCAGGGATTACTCAGGATTTTGTGCTGAAGGATCACTCCTGACAGTGCTCATGAATTTCCCCTGGTTTTGTGCTCAGGGATCACTCCTAGCATTGTTCATTGCTTACTCCTCGCTCTGTGCTGAAGGATCATTCCTGGCAGTGCTCAGAGCTTACTCCCAGCTCTATGCTCAGGAATCACTCCTGCTGCTATTCAGGGATTACTCCTGGCTCTGTGCTCAAGGATCACTCCGTACAGTGCTCATGGCTTACTCCTGGCTCTATGCTCAGGGATCACTCCTAGCAGTGCTCAGGGAACCATATAGGATGCCAGGAACCAAACCTGGGTCAGGCGTGTACAAGGCAAACACCCTTCCTGCTGTGCTCTGTCCAGCCCCCATTCCACCCTTTCATTATTTGGTTGGTCCAGTCTTTTATCTAAACTGGGCTCCAGTTCCGCTTGCTCCCCAGGGAGCAGAGACTCTCCCTGTTCTCTTTCCAATGTCTGATCTGAGACCCAAAGGTGCTGAGTGAACTGCATGAGGTTCAGAGTGAGAGTGAGTCCTGAATTTCATCAGGAAAGATGATTAGATACTGCACCCCCTTCTGAATATTGATGTGAGCCAACTCTGATTTTTTATGTTGTTTTATTTGGGTGCCACAGCTGGTGATGCTCAAGGCTTACTCCTGGCTCTGCATTCTTGGTGGGGCTCAGGGATCATGTGGGATCTGGGAATCGGAACTGTCTCAGCTTTATGCAAGACAAGCACCTTGCCTGCTGTTCTAGCTCTCCGCCCCACATCTCTGGTTTTAAACCCGTGCATTTGGTACATTTCAGTGGTGATATTCTTGGGGTATATGGCAATGGGTGTTTTTGGTTCTTTGAACTCCACTCTGTGATTCTCGGAGTTTGCTCCTGGCTCTGTGCTCAGGGATCACTCATTCCTAGCAGGGCACCAGGGATCATATAGGTTGCCGGGGATTGAATCAAGATCTGCTGCTTGTAAGACAAGTGTCTTAACCCCCCTTCATTGTCTCTTTGGACCCCCAGCACTGATTCTTTTTAGTCTGGGGGGAGGTGAGGGGGTTTGGGCCACACCCGACAGGCTCAGGGCTTTCTCTCAGCTCTGTGCTGAGGGATCACTTCTGGCTGGCTTGTGGGACCGTATGGGATGCTGGGGTTTGAACCCGAACCTGCCACACCTGAACCCAGACCCAACATGCCAGGTGTCACTTTTCTCCCGGAGGCCACACCTGCGAGAGAGTCCAGGAGGCCACTGATCTTCGCCCTCAATGAGCGCAAAGAAGAACTTAGCTCTGGTCAAAGTGACCAAGACCAAGCTGGGGGGGAGGGGGGTGGCAGGGGTGGTGTGATCACTTGCTACATCTTCATGCTGCACAAGACTTAGCCTTCCTAAGTGATCCCCGTCTGCTCCTTGGGATGAGTGATCCCGCTGGGTTGGCTCGGTCACACGGTGCTAGGGGCTGTGCTGGGTCCCCCAGGAGGGGACTGGGGGAATCCTGCAGCTCTGGGCCCAACCCTGCTATAGCATATGTGAGGCCTGTTGCCTGCCTGCCCCCAGGTAACTTGTATTTTTTTTTTTTTAATATCTGGGCCACAAGCAGTGCTCTGGGCTTACTCCTATCTCTGTGCTCAGGGCTCACTCCTAGCAGTGCTCACTCCTGGCATGTGGGGTGCAAGGGATCAAACCCAGGGTGGCTGTGTGCAAAGCCAACATCCAGCCCGCTGTGCTATGCTCAAGCCTCAGTGATGTATTCAGTTATCACCAATTATAAAGTAGCTTCTTTATTGATTACGTATTTATTCCTGTTGATACAAATTACAGATGTTGAAAGCGTAATGAACTATACAAAGGAAAGAACAAACGGACTTACAATTTTACCATTCAGGGCCAACATCTTAATGTAATTCTAACATTTTTTCTAGGCGATCATGATGCCATCTCTCTCTCTCTCTCTCTCTCTCTCTCTCTCTCTCTATATATATATATATACATGCATGCCTTTGTTTTTGCTAAATATATCGTTAGCATTTACCCTTACTCTTGGGCAGGAGCAATAGCACAGCAGGTAGAGCATTTGCCTTGCATGCAGCCTACCTGGGTTCAATTCCTCCATCCCTCTCGGAGAGCCTGGCAAGCTACCGAGAGTATCCCACCTGCACAGCAGAGCCTGGTAAGCTCCCCCATGGCGTATTCGATATGCCAAACACAGTAACAACAAGTCTCACAATGGAGACGTTACTGGTGCCCTCTCGAGCAAATCGATGAACAACGGGACAACAGTGCTACAGTGCTACCCTTATTCTTAATTACCTTCAAGAGTCTGATTTGAAGTTTTGTGCAAGATTCCACTGGAGAAACACGATTATTTCTTTACGGAGTCACTGAGTGAGGTATGGGGACAAGCGTGGCCAGGCAGGGCTGGGGCAGAGAGGCGGCCAGTGCCCGGTCAGTGTGTGGCTGGGCCTGGCATCTCTCCCACTCCTGTTCTTTCTGTTTTCTTTTCTTTTCTTAGTTAGACAGTCTCCCAAGCAGGGGCCCTGTGCTTAGTATCTGCCAACCAGGCCTGAGGTTCACTCTGCGGCTCAGGGGTCCCACGGGGGCAGAGGTCACTCCAGGCAGAGATTGGGGACAGGCATGGAACCAGGGTCTCACCAGGGTCGGCCCTGGGCAAGGCCAGTACCATATACCCTTTGGTGCTCCCTCTCCCCCGCCCTCCCTCCCTCTCTCTCCTTCCCTTCTTCCCTCTCTCTCTTTCCCCTCTCCCTCTTCCTCCCTCCCTCCCTCCCTCCGTCCCTCCCTCCCTCCCTTGTTCTCTCTCCCTCTCTCCCCTCCTTCTCTCCCCTTCTTCCCTCTCTCTTCCTCTCTCCCACTCTCTCTCCCTCTCCCTTCCTCCCTCCCTCTCTCACCTCCCTTCCTCCCTCTCTCATTCTCTCTCTCACTTTCCCTCCCTCTCCCTCTCTCTCTCTCTCCCTCTCTCTCCCCCCCTCACTCCTGACTCTGTGATCAGGGATCACTCCTGGCCGGTCTGGGGGCACCATATGTCTATGCCAGAGGGTCGAACCCGGCACTTTCTCGCTGTTCCTGGGTCAGCTTCTCTCCTTTAAGATTCGGAGGCGAGGGGTCGGGCAGCTCAGTGTGCTGGGCACCCGCTCTGAGTGACCACCCCCCAACCCCCCAATACCCCAAACCCGATAAGAACAAAAGTCAGAGGCCAGAGCAGAGGCGGAAGGGAAGCCAGGGGCCATTTCTGGACCCCTGCCTGCAGTCCTGTGCCTCGTCAGGGCCAGGATGACGCTGTGTGGGCGAAGAGGGTGGAATTGAAGAAACTGCAAGTCCCATTTGCAGCTGTCCTCTGTGCCGCTGGGTCTGTGGAGAACCGTTTAAGAAGATTGGAACCCTTGGAATGCTCCCCTCCCACCCCTGCCCGCTAGCCTCTCCTGGTGCTGAGAGGATTTCCGCTCCTGCTCTTCCCACACCCACTCCCTCGCTCCCCAGGCCTCCGAAGCCTCATTTCTTCTCCTCTCCGCGGTCTAGCATTTCATCTTCCGCATGTGAACTGCATTTCCCAGACCATCATCTTCCATGGAGTTCTTGTTACATGGGATTAGTAGTTATTTCCAGAAATAAAAAGAGAGGGGGGAAAAAAAAGGCAGGAGAGACATTTCACAGTCAAATTAGCCCGGGCAATAATCCTAAGTACAAACTGATGTTTTTCTTGTTATTTGTTTGGTTTCGGGCCCACATCCAGTTGTGCTCAGGGCTGACTCCTGGCAGGTTCAGAGGACCCTATGGGGTAACCCAGCATCGAACCTGGGTCAGCCACGGCCACGAGCAAGGCAAGCCCCATTCCCACTGTGCTATCGCTCCAGCCCCAGGTGTTGCTTTGTTTTCAGTGGTGAGACTTAGATATGACAACGCCCGTGCCCAGGAGTGCTATGACTCTGAGGCTGCAGGTGCCCAGGAGTGCCATGACTCTGAGGCTGCAGAGGGAACCGTTTTCAGGGTGGCAGGGGT